CTGCTGTGCGTAGATTTGAAGCTGTTGAACCAAGTTATTGACTTTTGAAATAGAAAGAAAGGAATGTTAGTGGGTAGAATGTAGCTATTGACACTATATTTCCATCGCGTTTTCATGAAATGTTGATGATACATGTTAATATTTTTTTGTTACTTATTTATAGATTGAATGCATTCCTCTGAAATTAATCCCTTAATACTCCAGCTAACAACCTTGTGGCACTCCTGGGAATCCACAAACCTTCATAACTTGGGGGCTTTGGCCTGGACCCTACCCAAGTTCTTTATTTGTTGCGACCTTTTCCTTCATTTACGATGTCATTTCCACAGCTTTCTTGCCATTAATTTTTCAACAGAAAATTGGTTGACTATGTCGTGCAATAGCAAGGAAAGCTAGTAATGGCTTTATTGTGTGAAGAGCAAATGTTGTTCCTTGATTTAGAAACCTATTTGGTAATTGTTCAGAATACCTTTGCAGGACCAATCATAGTGATATATTCCTCTCGCTTTATAGCACCTAAATATGCTAAGGAAACCTCCCCCAATATCCACAATTTTGGCCCCAATTGCAAGGGAGGGCATAAATGGTGCCAGGGAAATTATGGGGAAAATTATGAATAAAGTATAGACAATTGGTCAATATATAGTTAAATCCATGTGGATGTGCCCCCTGCCCCCCTCCAATGAATAAAGTATAGACAATTGGTCAATATATAGTTAAATCCATGTGGATGTGCCCCCTGCCCCCCTCCAATGGGGGCTGCTGCTTCCCAACTCTCTCCCTAGACAACAAAGAATCTACCATGTATGTATGGCAGGATAGAGCATAGGACAGACTTGTATTGGGTGCTCTTGCATATCAGTGGAGGATTCTTGGACAATATGTAGTATAAGGTAGTGGCAGTGTTGTGTAATAAAACCTACATGAAATGATAGAACAATACAAACCAAGACAAAGTTTTTCTATGGCAATATGTGTGCAAATGCTTTCGAAGGCTGCTATACATAAAAGAAAAGAGAAGATCTCCCAATTTTGGCTAAGTCTCTGATCTTTTTTAAATTGTGAGGGTGAATTCTGGACGCATATACTACCACGGGGGTCCAGGGGTTGTAGCCCCCTGGCTTGGCATATATATTACCATGGGGGTTAGGGAATATATACCATGGTGTTAGGTTAGGTTGGGTATTGGGTTAGAACATTTTGTTTAACAACCAGGGGGGTCCTGGTATACCCCATAATTTCCCTGATGTTCTTCATGCCGTCCCCTGCTATCGGGACTATCAAATCAAGCTTGTTGATGGAGATAGTGATCATATCTCCTCAATGATTCTTTTGCACAAGGAAAATGCCTAGAATCGTTGAAAGCAGTGGATTTCATGCAGAAATATATAAAAATTGTTTCGAAAGTAACCCACTACCCTCTTCTACATATTGACCGGGGGGTATCTTCTCTTTTTTTTTGCCAGAATTTTTTTTTTTTTTATTCATCTACAAAATGCAATTTTATTTATTGAAATTCAATTATCATCATTATAATGAAAATTATAATACTGTTGATAAATGCCTTGGTAAAAGTCTTACACACTAATGGCACTGATGGATTGCTCAGGTCTGTGGAGTTTAGTGTGATCCATCCAGAAAGACATTTTAGTCATATTGATCGTCATGGGGCCAAGTTCACCTAATCTTTTCAAAATTAGCATTGGCATCATGTATAGAAAGTTCATATATCCCTTTTCCCCTTCAATCTAGGGTTTTGCTTGATTGGCTGACTGGTGTGCACACCCTGGCACTTGGCTCAGATTGGAGCAGGAAAGACCTGTCACCTTCATTAAGAAGAGCCTGACTGCCAGAGATGCTTATTTGCAGAACTTGGGGAATGATGAGGAACAGATCTGCTAAAAAGATGGCACTGATGGATTGCTCAGGTCTGTGGAGTTTAGTGTGATCCATCCAGAAAGACATTTTAGTCATATTGATCGTCATGGGGCCAAGTTCACCTAATCTTTTCAAAATTAGCATTGGCATCATGTATAGAAAGTTCATATATCCCTTTTCCCCTTCAATCTAGGGTTTTGCTTGATTGGCTGACTGGTGTGCACACCCTGGCACTTGGCTCAGATTGGAGCAGGAAAGACCTGTCACCTTCATTAAGAAGAGCCTGACTGCCAGAGATGCTTATTTGCAGAACTTGGGGAATGATGAGGAACAGATCTGCTAAAAAGATTTAAAAGTTTTTATTTTTATTTGTATTTCTGGCAATGGATCCTTATAATACTGATAGGATAGTAAATAATAACATGCAACATTCATGAATATGATAATAGGCATTGTGATCAGTGTCATTATGTTCATAGAAATTATTTTACTAAGATTTTCTTTATTGATTGTTTTTAATTGCATAAAAACTAAAATGATTATGATAGTAGTGAATATGACTATCACAACTAATAGTAGTGTTGGTATAACATCAATGTGAATTACACTCAAGGCCTTTGTAGTTTGCACCTATTTTTTTATGTCCCCCCTCCGAAAAGAAGTGGTATCACCCCACAAAATTCAATTAAAGAAATTAGTTCTTTAATGTTTGAATTTTTCAATTTAATGCAGCTTCGACGACCTTTCCCGGAAGGTCTACTGATTCAGGTAGGCGTCAAGTCGAACCACCTTTTGAGAACCTGCTTTAGGACTGCACTGTGGAGACTTGCATAAAAGATATTTAAGAGAAGAACGAAAATCCTGAGGAAACCTATTTGAACTTTTTAAGATTTTCATTTTTCAAAGAAAGAGCTAGTGGTGCATTTCCACAGTGCATTTCGTTATAATTTTATGATTCTCTGAGAATTTTCTGAAACTTGGGTTGTTGTATGCTGATATTTTGATTACATATGTATTGTGGCAGTTATGAATGACATGATTATTTATCTCCCTTAAAGCACACAATTATAAGATCCTTTCAGTATGATACATTCCTATGGCACCATTTTTTTCTTTTTCTTTCTATAGATATTTACACGCATATTTTTTTCATACTGAATGCTTCCAGTGATATAGGGAAAAGAGGAGCATGAAATGCCATTCACAGAAACAAGGAGGGATAAATATGTCAAAAGGGACAGTTTTTACTGAAGCACTTGTTTTTCTCAGTTCATTGAGTAATTCAATTCTAAAACCTTTTCAACAGCTGTGATTCTATTGTTAAACCCTCCCCCCCAAAAAAAAGAAGCACAAGGAAACTAGAATTCATCTCTGAAAACCCCAGGCAGTTCACAACACTGTAAAGATGGTAGGCAATTTTCCTCTCAGAGTATGTGTGGTATGGAAGTGTTTAATTGCCCACTAATCCCCCATCTTTTACAGGTGGAATTGCCTCTCCTCTTGACGTAGAAGAAATCCTGGAGGCTTTAGGATTTTTACCTTTATTTTCTTTTATCTCATTTTAATTAACTTGCCACACCACCTCTTTCACTGCTTTGGAACATAAAGCAACACTAAATCTACTTGTTCTTTTTGAAAATGTATGAATGAGAATTGATAAATGATATGTGCAGATCTTAGTATGTGTTTAGATGCTTTATCTTCACCAGAATTTTGTATATATATTCATATTGTGGAAGTATTAATTCTACTTAATATCTTTTCTACATTTGATATGATGAACTCCTTTTTCCCCATTTTTTCTCCTTGTGGAGAAAGCCCTCCAAAATATAGCCTCTCTTGTCTAGTAGGCAGAAAGATATTGATGTAGGTAGGTTAGTGTTAATGGTATTTTGGACAATTTTTGATTGTCCATCTGATGATTCATATATTTTTTATCAAGTGGCTTTTAAAAGATGCGGTGAATGATTTGATAAATGAATAAAGCCTTCAGATATTTAGAAATGTGATAAGAATTCAGAATATCCATAGATATGCTTAGAATATCTGTGCCTATTAACTCAATTTTTCTGTAAAGAGTTCATTTTTCCATATTATGAAGATTTGTCCTCCTAGTGTGCAGTGTAGGTGCACATTCTGTGTAGCAATCATAAATGTTTTTAGATTATTGTTAGATATTGTATTTTTAGTGTTCCTAGTGTTACTGACACCAGTGGTCTTCAATCCTTTGCAAGCTCTGAGTTACATATGTCATTATCACTACCTTAAAGGCAGATGTAAGTAGTACTTTTAACCCTATAGATGTGGGTATCCTTTATATATGTCATGGTGCTTCCAGTGTTTCCATCTGGCATCAAGGGGAATGTTATCTTGTTGACAAAATTGCCATGACTAGAGTGTGAGCAGCAGTAGTCATAGTTGTACCACTTCTTTAACTCCTGAGTGGTAGGCATGGAATAGCCTACTAAGGTGGGCAAAGTTCCACATATTGGTACACCATTTGCCATTGAAAAGTTAAAACATACGTGTAACAAAATAGCAACACATTTTATGACATTCGGATTCATCATGGATAAAACTTTGAAAGAAACAATCTACTTAGAGAGTCAATATGTTTTGCAACTTGGGTTTTTCATATATTGCATGAATGATGCAGGTTAAAGTAGTGATTCTTAGACATCATCTTCATAATTAGAGTAACTGATTTGTATTTATAATTTGCAGTTATTTAGAGCAATTAAGCAAAATCAGTATGAAAAGAAACTTTATTAGTTAATGATAATTTGCAATTATATAGAGTAATTAAGCAAAATCTGTATATAAAAAAGTTATTAGCAAAACTTCTAAAAAATAACTGGTGGTACCTCTGTTGTTACTGCTTCTAAAAGATAAAGGCAATGTTAGAAATACTAAAGAAATACTTTTTTTCTGTGTAGATGACAAAAATATAAAAGAAATGCAGAATAGCAGTTACAGATTTACATATTTCTTATAATCTCCTTAAATGTTATGAATATGTAGTCTGGAATTTTGTATAATTTATCAATGAGTCTTGGATATTTTATATCTTGGTAAATACATAAGCTTTGTGATATGGACCTACAAGGTGTGTGTTGGAGACCACTGAGTTAGAGCCATTGGTATTGCTCTTAGATGTAGGATTTTTGGTTCACAAGCAATAAGAAACTAAGGAGGAAAGAATTTAGAAGAAAGAAAAATAACACAGAGTTTTGTCTTAATAAGTACACATCACTTTGTTGATATTATTTTTTTCTAAAATCTTTCCTCTTTTGGAAAACTAGACATGTGATTAACCACCATTTTACTACATTTTTTCACCAGAGGACAAAGATAGGAAATTTGAAGATAAAGAAGGTAAGAGATAAGGTTTCTCAAATACCCTGCATCTTTTTCTTGCCTTGACTCGGTGCTTTCAGATTTATTTTGCTCTCTTTCAATGCGGTTTCTTGCGTATTATGTTGGGTAATGGCTGGAGAACGAGAGAACTTTTATTTGCGGACATTTTATGCGGAGATTTTTATTTGTTTTATTGGGTTATATTTTGCATGATATAATAGCTTATATCTGTTTTTTTTTTTGTTTTTTTCGGGGGCAGAGAAAGTATTTTCAGAATTTTTCTCTCTTGTAAATATTTTAAGATATATTTTTAGACAATTTTCTTCAAGGAGCTAGGATCAATAGTTATTAGTTACAAAGTAGTCTTTTGATCAGATCTGAAGAAATATTTGAAGTATTTTTGCTTCATCTGTTTTTGGCTATATGTAAGAACTTGATTGCCATTTTTTGTACCTGTAGCAGATAAACTGAGACTAAAATAGCTTTGTAGTCTGCAAATGTACAGAATCATAGAGATGCAGAAGTAGACATTAGCAAGCAATTTCATGAAACTTTTTAACTTTAGATTAAAAACTTTTTTTTGCATGGAAAGTATGTGTGTATTTTTTAGAAATGATAGATCCATACAATTAATATTTTATTAGAATTTCAGCACGTAGTGTTCCTTGGCAATTTTTTTTCTTCTAGTTTTTATCTAGTAAGAATATACATCACTGCACAGTGTAGAGTAGTCTCTTATTATTCTCTCTAGAAATACAGTTATGTAGCAGCTAGCACTCTTGCATGGGCATTGCCTTTAGAATAAGATACAGGGAGAAATATCTAGAAGCCTGAAGCTGTCTCTTCCTGAGAGGTAATTAGGTTTGCATATTCAACAAAAATAGCATTATTTTTATTTTTCCTTGTATAGAATTTTCTTCCATTGTTACTGTTTTGTTTTCATATATTTTTACCTTTACAAATTTGAGCATGTATGTTACAAATGACATCTGTTTAAAAAAAATATCCAGCTAAAGGCTAGATGAAAAAGTAACTTGAATATTGGGTTTCAACTTTAATCTTCAGGGGAAGTGCCATGTGATGTCTCACTTTTAACCAAGCTGTCATCCCCTTGCTGGAAACCTTTTTGAAATTCAAATTTTGGAATGTCAACCAGTTGTACAGTCACAAGCCATCTATTTACTAACAAAATTCATAATCTGAAATCCAATTACATTGGATATGGTATGTATATTTGTCGTTTCAACATCAAAAAGTTGGAAAGTATAACTCCCATAGTGTCATTACAGACCACTTATTGTATCTTGCAAATTGTATGAGCTTAGTTTTCACAAAGCTTTTGGCACAACATGATGGAGTTATGCTGCTTAATATTTTCTTTCACTCTATAGAAGTGAAAATTAAAAGTGCACCTACAGCAAATTTTCTTTGACTGTCTTTGAATGGCTCAATTGGTGAGGCTGCCAAAAGTCATGCTTGTCCAGTAAGGTGAGGCTACATGAAATTCAATGTGCAGTAAAGGCAACAACTTTTAAGGGCATTTTACCTATTACTTTGCACAAAAGAGTAAAAGCTGGATATTTCATTTAACAGATCATGTGTGTTATGATGTCCAGTGGGACATATTTTAGATATTAAGAATGAGGATTATTAAGATTTAACAGTTGATAAAGGAATCCACTTTAAGTGTAATGTAATTTATTTTATTTTACACTTCACAAGAATGGAATGATTAATTTCCCACTGTTTTCCAGAGTGGCAAAGATGGCATCAGAAAAGAACGTGATACGTTTGGGGAGCTGGACGTGCCCAACAGCAAATACTATGGGGCTCAGACTGTACGATCCGTCATGAACTTCCCCATTGGTGGAGAAACGGAGCGAATGCCGGTAAGTGTCGTGTATAATTTTAAAAAATTAATTAATTAATTAGTTTATTTGTTTGTTCTTGTTTATTTATCTATTGATTGATTTATTATGGAAAGTTTTTAGGACTTTTTTCCTCCTCTAACTCAGAAACTAAGCTAGTATTTTTTTTCACCTTAGGCTCCACTTTAATGGATGATGGCAAAGGCGCCTATTCTGTAACCATATGGAGCAGTAACTTTTCTTTCCCTGCACATTTGTTCCCACACAGCATACATCTGGGCCAAAGTGCCCATGTGTGTCTGTCTCCTCAATTTCTGCCGTTTTTTATTTTTTTTAATTTAATTTTTTTATATGCAATTACTTGTATTTCCATTAGTTTATGATTGAGGATCTCATCAGTGGACAGTGATTTGTTTGAATAATAAGTTATATTTGTCTTTAGGCTTTCATTCACTTTATTTCCCATCTGTTTCATTTATTTTGTTGAATCTGGCAATTGAGCTTATTTTACTGTTGATTATACTTTCCAAGGCTCAACAGTTCTGTATGTCTGGGATAATGGTTTGTTACTAAGAAAAAGGTGTCTGGGATATTTTTAGGTGTAGAAGTTTCTTTCATTATATGTGTCTGGTTTGAAATTATTAGACTTTTTGCCTTTTACTGTAGCATTGAAGTTTGACTATTATTGGATATAGCCAGTTACACACTTGGTGATCAGCTGCTTGTTTTCTCACATTTTTGTATTGGTAGACCTGGGACATACTCTCTTCTCTCACCAAGTGCAGAGTATACACTTCCATTAATGCATTTCTCAGGTCAATTAAGATGACAGGGAAATATAAGGCTAATTAGTGGTAGATTTCTGTGTGTTCCACTTTCTTTGCAAGACATGCTATGCAGCTTCGCCCACATTATGTTCCACTTTGGTCAATTTAGTCCAGATTGCCTTGAACTGTCGAACACCTCATTTGCAGGCTTTTTAATTTTTACTGTTTACTATGAATAAGAATTTACCAATTTTTCATATTTATTTTGTTCCCATTTATCACTTTTCTCTTTGCACTTATTACACGCTTCTTATTTCTGATTCACTCTCACTCATACCTTCTCTCTTTTGCAGTTGCCAGTGATTAAGGCCTTTGGGGTACTGAAGAAGGCTGCAGCAGAGGTCAACCAGGAGTATGGTCTTGATCCCAAGATAGCTGATGCCATTTCCAAAGCAGCTGATGAAGTGATCAGCGGGGAACTCTATGGGGAGCATTTCCCTCTTGTCATCTGGCAGACTGTAAGGTTTATGGGTTTCAAAAATGTTCTTGTTCTTTTATTGAAGTTTCTCTGGTTTGCTTTCCTCCTCATCTTTCTTTTCTTCCTTGTCTTCTTCTTCTTCTCCTTTTTCCTTATCCTCCTTTTCCTCTTTTCTTCCTCCCTTTCCTCTTCTTTTCTTCCTATCATCCCACCCCTTTCCTTCCTCCTTTTTCAGCCTTCTTTTCCTTTCTTTCCTTCCTCATTTTCCAGTTCTTTATTTTCCTGGCCTCCCCTGGAAAGTACAGTTAACAGATATCATTTTGAATATAAAGAATGAGAATGACAAAGTTTAAAGGAAATTGACAAAATGTTTGGTTGTTGAAGGCCATGAGCAGTTGGTATTTTCTCTCTCCGTAGGGGTCTGGAACGCAGTCCAACATGAACACCAATGAAGTAATTGCCAACCGTGCAATTGAATTAATGGGAGGAGAACTAGGGTCAAAATCACCTGTTCACCCCAATGACCATGTGAATAAGAGTCAGGTGAGTTTTTGAAAATTGTTCAAAATTATTGCTGATATTAGTGTTTGTTATTGGTTTGTATTTTTCACACTACTATCAATATAATTCTAGTTATTGCTGATGTTATTTATGTTAATTTTTTGTTGTTGCAATCATTATTATTATTGTTTGATATTTTCCATTTTTATTGGATTATTTTATTCTTATTTTTTATTGTTTATTATTTGATATTTATCATGTATTCTTTGTTAGTTGCAGATATTAGTCATTATGGATTATTCTTAATTATATTGTATATATTTGTCTTTCACAATTAGCTTATGGTCCAAAGACAAAAGAAAGCTAGTCTTATTTGTCTATTTATTTTCAGAGTTCAAATGATACATACCCAACTGCCATGCACATTGCAACTGCAGTTGAGATTCACAACACACTGTTGCCAGGCCTTGAAGCCTTGCATAAGGCCTTGGATGCAAAAGCCAAGGAGTATGCAGACATTGTAAAGATTGGCCGCACTCACACGCAGGTATGTAGATTGCACGAGATGGTGACTTGGAATCTTGTGAAGTCACTTTGCAGATGTAGAGATGAGAGAGGATGGTCATAATGTAGTGCATGGAATAAGCTGGTTGAGAAAATTGAAGAATGTGAAGTTACAGTTGGATGATCTGCAAACATTATCATATGGAATGATTGCTTTGAGTACACAAAAAATATACGCATCATATATATTCAAGTAATTTTTTTTATCTATCTTTTTTTTTTCATTTATTTTTGTTAGGATGCTACACCCCTAACTCTTGGCCAAGAGTTCAGTGGCTATGCACAGCAGATTGAGTTTGGCATTCAGCGTGTGAAGGCCTGTCTCCCACGCGTCTACATGCTGGCTGCTGGAGGAACTGCTGTGGGCACAGGTCTCAACACCAGGGTTGGGTTTGCAGAGAAGGTGGCTGAAAAGGTAAGCATCTGTTGTTGGCTTGCATGTGTTCACTTTTTGTAAGGATGTAACATTGTTTTGTGGGGAAATTTTCTTTATTTGATATTGTTCTGCAATCTTTTCAGTTAGCAGAACAAGACCCAGTCAAAACTTTATAAGCACAGAATTCCATAAGATTATTTTTCTCAAATAACTTTTGAAATCATCCTCCTCCCACTATTCCCCAAGGTCTCACAGCTTACTGGCCTGCCCTTCGAGACTGCTCCGAACAAGTTTGAGGCCTTGGCTGCCCATGACGCCATGGTTGAGGTCTCGGGCGCTCTTAACGTTATTGCTTGCTCCATCATGAAGATTGCCAATGACATCCGCTTCCTTGGCTCTGGGCCACGCTGTGGTCTGGGAGAGCTCTCCCTGCCAGAGAATGAGCCAGGTTCTTCCATTATGCCAGGTATGGCAGCTGGGAGGGGATGATGGCAGGGTCACCTCGCTTGTGTGCTCACTCCCTTGTCGGTGGCTCTTTGTTTGTTTGTATCCTCTTTTATGTGCATTTGTTAATGATTCATCTTTAAGATAATTAACTTGAAATGAACAATATTGGATCAAAGCATAACGTGATGAAGAAAAGAGCAATTATTATGAGCATTGCAAACTGTTTAAACCAAAACCATATCCTAATTATGCTCATGGATGCATTGCAGGCAAGGTCAACCCAACCCAGTGCGAGGCCATCACCATGGTTGCGGCTCAGGTTATGGGCAACCACGTGGCAGTGACAGTGGGTGGCTCCAATGGACACTTCGAGCTCAATGTTTTCAAGCCCATGATGGTTGCCAACGTGCTGAGGTGAGGTGTTCAGTGTTTGCATTTGAATGGTAGTGAAGTGAGTGTGTGAGTTGAGTTTTCAAGGTTTGTGTGTGGAGTAATGATATTGATATGATCTATTGATATTATTTCCTTGTGCTGTTATTTCTTTTCTACCTTTTGACAACATTTTTCACAAATATCTTTCCAGTTCTAATGTTGATGTGCATAGATTGTATTACCAATATGAATTTTTTCTATGATATGCCTTATGACACCTGATCTTTCTTCCTTCAGGTCCATTCGGCTGCTTGGTGACAGCTGTCATGCATTCGTCAATAACTGTGTTGTTGGCATTACAGCAAACCAGGAACGTATTGACAAGCTCCTCCATGAGTCACTTATGTTGGTGACTGCCCTCAACCCTCACATTGGTTATGACAAGGTTTGTGGTTAAGTGGTACAAATAGTCCTTGATTTACAGTTGAGTTTCATATCTGAATCCAAATTGTAAAATGAAATAATATGAAATGTAACCATTAATCCTATAACAAATAACAAAAAAAAATTCTCCTAACTCCTGCCCAGACTTCATGACTCGATAAATAGAAATGATTGAATTTGGTAAATTAGAAAAAAGGAATAAATGATAGAAGTAGTCCAAATTATTGTGAACATTTATACAATGCAGAAATACTCACTTTAATATAAGAGAGACTTTACACAGCATTTATATTCTTTCAGGCTGCAAAGATTGCCAAGACTGCACATAAGGAAGGCTCAACGCTCAAGGCCACAGCACTTAAGCTTGGCTACTTGACGGAGGAAGAATTTGACAAGTGGGTTAGACCTGAAGATATGCTGGGACCTAAGTAAAAGACAATAGGAACAGCCAGAGTGAGTATATATTCAGGTAAACAAAATTCATTATTTTTTAAGATTTCATTGGTTATGGTTATCTTCTTCTTCTTCTTCTTCTTCGCAGCGCGTCTTTAATTCGCGCATTGTTGATTTTGGCAAGAAGTTTTACGCCGGATGCCCTTCCTGTCGCAACCCCTTTTTAGTCGCCTTTTACGATCACGCAGGGGATACGGTGGGACTATATTCTAAAGCCGGACCCACACAGCGATTCATTGGTTATGGTTATAACCGCAAATCCATTCTATAATGTCAATTAATGTGTTTATTTTCTTTAATGATGAATATTTGATATTTACTCTTCTTTAAATACATCGATAACAAAACAGTGGCTTACTCCCAACTGCAAGGTCTTTAAACAGACAAAATGTTTCTTGGGGTAGCTGTATGAATAGCAAATTTTGTTTTACCCCTCCCATTGCAGTTGGCGACTGTTCATGATAATTTGCAGAAATTTCGATACTTGAACTACAAGAAAAAAAGTTGTACAAAATAAGGGTTTATTGTACTTGGGAAATGTTAATGTAATAACTATAATGATAAATTGCAATGATAACCATAACTGATGATGGAAATAATAACTATTTTTTCTAATTATGACAAAGTGATTATTATTGTTTTTTTTTCATTCCAGGTACTTGTATGATCTACACATTCAGCAAAGAGCATTAAAAGAAATGATGGATCAAGACGGGACCGCCACGGTTATAGGAGCATATACATAGTTGCATATAGTTTTGTAAATCTGCACATCATAAAACCATGTTTGAAAAAGGACTTTTATGTGAAAGAAATGTTTTTGATGCTCAAAATTCTGTATTGTTTTATAATATATGACAATTTGTTCAGGTTGTAAAAGAAATGGTGTTTTGACTCCAAGGAAGTCTTCGATGGTGTACATAGAATATCTTTATAACGATATTGGAGTACGAAATCCCTATTTTGTTGCATAAATAATAAATTGAAAAATGGTATATATATCTTACTAACCTTTTTATTTATATGATGATAAAGTTATAACTCAAGAGAAGGATATGAGAACTGGCAAAATGATGAAAACTTTAATGTATATATTCTCAAAAAGAAATATTTTGCTTAATTGATTCTTGTATAAGAGGCAGCCATCTGTTTTGTTGAAAATGCCAGTATGTCTTTTGAAAAATAAAGACCAAGTTAATATATCCCTGTTCTAATTCTAAGCTTATAAACCCAGGGAGTCTTAACCCATTGCCGCCGGGGATGGCATGTACGTACATGCCATGCCCACTGTGAGTCGACTTGTTCGATTGTTTTTACACATAGATGGCTACACTTGTACTAAGTATCCAATGAGCCAATTACGAGTACTGCCTGTCTCGCCCGTTCACCCTTCTAATCGATTTACGAAAATATTTAACGTTATCCTAATTTGCTGTTAAAAATAACACCATCTATATTTATAACACTAGTAAGAATACGTTTTTTTCCCGCCAATTTAAGGAAAGGTGAAATCAGGACTAGCAGAGCTATCTATGGACAGACATATTTCACAAAAATATAAAAAATGAGTACTGCATTCTCCCCATTTTTTGTTCATTTTCCCCAGTGGCAATGGGTTAAGAAATAAAATGTGGCATAAAATGAGTTTCTTAACCATTAGAATTCTCTAAATTTGTTTAATCAAAGTGGTAAAATATTTAATGGTTTTGCTAGTAGATAACAATGTTTATGTATATTCTTTACTCTATAAAAGGGTTTAGGTCCAAAACTGTTTTATCTGTGATGTAGCTTTAAAAATGCAATAAAGGATTTTAAACAGTGGAACCATAAATAAACAAATAGAAATGATAAGTATTTAAACTGCCAGGTCCACGTTTCTCTCCTTGTTTTTGGGTCCTGAAACCCAAGCTATAGCATTATCAACTCTAACTGATCTCTGGCAACTCCATTCCTGCAAAACCTCATCCAACCCTCCATACCTGTACTGGAACTGTCTCCAGCTCCCCAGTAATCTGCCCTATCTATAACAAAAATTGGTCAGATTGTGGAGAAGACTTACTCGCCTGTATGATGTAATATCAGTACAATATTACTCTATTTCTCCTAGAGGGCATTGTAAGAACCCCACCAACATTGCCAAAATTATTTTCCGTAGACATGACCTTCCCTTTAATGCTTACATTGGTGGAGAATCCCTCCCTGTCCAACTATATCAACCTCCTCCCCGTCAGTGTTAAAATTGTTAGCGTTTAGGACACATCTGCCAAACACTGCTGTGCCCGATGCCCTCTATGTGCTTAACCTGGTCATAACCGATCAGACTTCTCTGCACAGTCACGCACATGTGTTAACTGTGGTGGCCCCATAATATATTTTATAGAGGCCGCTCTGCCTACAAGTTTGAGTCTTGAGGTGGTAAGTCTCAGATTCAGACTTAGTCTCACTCTACATGAAGCCAGATAGGAAGCACATGGACGAGGTTTTTCTCTTACTCCCTACTCCAGTAATGTCGCTTGCTTTGCCCCTACCCCTCCTTCTCAAGATGTTCCTACACCCTCCCCTATATCTATTCCTCCTACATCTTACTTCCCTACTTCTACCTCCTACCTTCCCCAGTCAAATTCTCTTGCCGTTCCAAATCCAGACACTTCAATCTTTACTGCAGCCCAAACACCTCCCCCTCTCCCTCCCCGCACTACCGGCAGCAGACAGACAACATTTCACCTCTTCTACTACACACTCACCTCCACCTACCTTTGCCTCTACACCAGTCTCCTCTTCCCCCTTTCATAAGAAAACCTTTGTCTCACAAAACTCCCCAACCAACTCCAGTACAAAAACGCTTGAAGATATTCAAAACATCATCCTCCTACTTGTGCACAGTTATTTACATCTTTCTTCGCCGTTGGATCACAGTTAATTCAGTCGACTCCCCTTCCCATCCCATTGACTTTGTTGCCTTTGAAACTCTAAGATCCCAACTCCAGCCACCTTTCCTTGCAGTTGGTGTATTTAACTGCCGCCACACTAATTGGGGTGATTCCTGTGGCCGATCCCTAGAATGCTTCCTCTCCACAACTGACCTAATTATTCATAATTCAGATCGCCCAACACTTTGACATATGCACGCAATCTTTTTCATGCCTTGGCCTCTCTCTTTGCTCTCCTCTCCATTTAGATTTTCATTGGTCAGTTCTAGACACCTTTCCAGTCCTTTCTCCTACTTCATGTTTACCACTTCCTAACCCCCCACGCTGGTGCTTTGATAGAGCCGACTGGTGTACTTTCACCACACTTTCTATTATTCCTACCCCAATCAATTTCAGCCGTTTGGTGTCGGATCCATTAACTATCAGGCAAATATCCCCCCATCCAGCCTCCGTCCTCCATGTTCAAGATACTCTCATCTCAGGTCCTCTCCAAGTCGCTAATGAACTAGGTGACTATTTCAGCCAGGTCGGTAGTGGCTCTCACCTTTCTCCACACTTCTCTTCCATGCACCCCCATCATCTTCACCCTATCCTCTGCTGAGTCCTATAATGCTTCTTTTTCTTCCTCTGAACTCATTGCTACCTTACAGTCGTGTCGTAATACTCATGAAGACCCTGACGGTATTCACTACCGTATGCTCCGACACCTTCCATCATCCTCTCTGTCCTTCCTATTAACCATTTTTAACTACTTATGGACGTCAGGAAATTTTCCTTCTCACTGGCGAGAAGCTTTTATCCTCCCATTTTTGAAACCCAATGAATTGGACACCCTCCCTCAAGATTACCACCCCATCGCTCTAACTAGCTGCTTGTGCAAACTACTAGAGTGAATTGTTAACTTCTACTGAATGTGGTGTCTTGAATCTCACAATTTTCTCTCTCCTTCACAGTCTGTTTTCCGCCGTGCCCAAAGTACAACTGACACCCTTGCTCATTTCGAGACATATACTGCATCTGCATTTGCACACCATGAATCCGTGTTAGTCATATTCTTTGACCTAGAAAAGGCATTTGATACCACATGGCGGTACCATTTTCTCCAAATATTGTTCTCTCTAGGCATACACGGAAACATGGGTGTCTTTATAAAGTCTTTCCTCTCCAGGTCAAAATTGCCTCTTCCACATCATCACCCTTTCCTCAGTTCGAAGGCGTCCCGCAAGGCAGCGTGTTCAGCACCACCTTATTCCTTCATGCCATTATCAAACCAATACCGTTCCTCTGGCAAATTCCTTGGCGTTATTTACTCCAAATTCTCCTGGCGAGACCATATCTTTTACATTAAAGGAAAAGTTTGTCACCGCCTCCGAATCTTACAAATTCTTACCCATATATCCTGGGGCTCAGATCGCAGAACTCTCCTCCATCTTCGTGTTACCTTGATCCTCTCGTTATGGATGCCATATTTACTCCTCTGCCCCAATCTCCCTTCTTGCTCATTTTGATACAATCCACCACTGCGGTCTTTTCTTAACCCTAGGCACTTTCCGCTCCTCTCCAGTTGAGAGCCTGTACACTGAATCAGGCATGTCATCTCTCTCTCGACGTCGTGCCCGTCTCTCTCTCCGATGCTATGCTCGATTCCACTAACTTTCCCTCACCAAACTAACTATCCCACGATCCCTGTTTCCTACCTTTGCTTCTTCTCCACGTTTACCTACTCCTTTCCCCATTCGGATGAATACACTCCTCTCCCATTACCCCTTTCCCCACCTCCGACCTATTCTGTTTTCTGTCCATTCCGTTCCTCCATGGCTTATAGCTTACCTCCCTTCTTCCTCTTTCACTATTTTTACTCACTCCCTTAACTCATTAACTCTTATAGTCTATGCACTCGACCTTGTCTGTAAGATCCAGAACTGGTTATTCTACTTGTCCACACGCCATAAATCTATCAGAAGAGAGCTGCTACCGACATGCACCCACATGGGATTTCCAAACAATGTTTAGATCTTCAAGATTTTTTCTTCTCCTTTACCAAATGAAATTCTTGTACACATTTTCCCACTTACACTATTACACAATACTCCCCATAATGTACTGAAAATAAAATTTACGAATGCTGATAGATTACCGCGCAGTTCAAAAATATGCCATGATCCAAACAGTCATTACATCATCCTCCCCTCTGGGATTTTTTTTTTTTGCCGAATTACACTATTGTACCACATAATTTCCCAAATACATTCAATACAAAATTGACAAAAGTAGCTATTCCTATTTTCAGTACACTTCACCAAAACCATCACATCACCTATCCCTTGTTATTCTCATAAGACACTACCCCTAGGATGATTCAGTTACCATACGCCATAGAAAGAACACTGGGCATTCTGGGACTCTCTACCTCCACCGCCTTGTGGTCCTGTGACCCGTTTGAAAGATCCACGTGCCCTTTGAAGACAGTAAATTAGCTTACTCATAGCCACTTTACCCCACCAAGTTCCATTACTCTCCCAAAGGTGATGGGGATGACCATAACTGGGGTACCCCGTCATACTCTTGGTGGCCAAAGGTCTTCCTACTCATTTACTCTCCCCCTCCTAGATCCATTCTTCATTCACTCATTTGCTGTAGAAAAGTATATAGGAAGGCTAGTACTGTGGTCCCCCCAATCCTCATATGAATCGATCACATACTGGAAGCATCTTCGTGTATTGCACGGCCTGGCCACGTCTTACCATAAAGTGAAAGTTCTCTCTCTCTCTCTCTCTCTCTCTCTCTCTCTCTCTCTCTCTCTCTCTCTCTCTCTCTCTCACTCTCTCTCTCTCCCCCTCTCTCTCTCTCTCTCTCTCTCTCTCTCTCTCTCTCTCTCTCTCTCTCTCTCTCTCTCTCTCTCTCTCTCTCTCTCTCTCTCTCACTCTCCCCCTCTCCCCCCCCCCCCCCTCTCTCTCTCTCTCTCTCTCTCTCTCTCTCTCTCTCTCTCTCTCTCTCTCTCTCTCTCTCTCTCTCTCTCTCTCTCTCTCTCTCCCTCTCTCTCTCTCTCCCTCTCTCTCTCTCTC